GTTTTTACAGATTTCTGTTCTCTTGTAGGCTTGCAAATTATGTGCAAATAATACAGAGTAGAAATAAATTCGAAAACTAAAATATTTGTAATTATATTCAAAAAAATATTTATTCAAATGAAATGAAAAAAGTATTGTTTCTTGACAAATAAAAAAAAAGTGTCAAATGAATATTTTTATTCAGTTTTTATTTATTAATTCGAATATTAAGGGTATTCATCGCGCACATTACTCACACCCTCAGTTATCTGCACGATCAAATGATTAAAAATTTTAATTATTAACATTTTTAAGTTTTTAAGGATTAAAAATTTTTTTAAGACACAAACGGACAATTTCAGTCAATTTGCTGTCAATGTTCGTCAATGTATTCATTTAGTTGTTAAAATTGTAGAGCGTCAAGTTTGGTCAAGTTTTATGTATATGTATATGTAGATTATAAAATCACAGCACAGACTTTTGCATAAGGCGTAAGAGAAACAACCATTTAAAGTCCTTTATTTCATTTTGATCAGTTGATTCTCTTATACCTTATTCATTATGCAAAATTCTGTGCTGCAGCCTTTAAGTTTAAAACTAAAGTTCTCGCACAAATTCTTTGTCCAAAATCCAAATGATCCATTTGGCCATTCGGCCAAATTTAATTAGTTATCAATGGTATACCAAGACGCAAAGAGACTGACTTATGAATCTCTCATTTTTACGAAACAGAAAAGAGATATGAAAATCCAAGGGTCAGATATTCGGCGACATGTTATAGGCCCGGATATCAGCGATGACCGGAAGCCGCGCGACACGATTTCTTTGTATCTAGAATCGGAAGTCACAGAGGCGTAAATTTTAATATCATTCATGTAGGAAGTGAGAAAGAAACACCTCTCGGTGCAAAAATTCCTTCTGTAGGATTCTTCACGACACGGAGGAAACCATATAGCACGCTTCGACAAATCTTAATATATCGTCGAATGCGTGTCCCTTTTATGCTTTCGCGGTATTTCGTCTCAAAATCCATGATAATGTTATGTCGACCGCGTGAAGTGAACGCGATTTTACGCTGGACGAATCGCGATTTTATTATAGAATTTGCAAGGGAAGGAACCGAATATTTTGCAAATCTTTATGGTAATACCATATGTGAAATGTCGAAAATATGAAATATAAAATATGAAAAATACACTATGTACATATAAATATGTTTTTGTTGCAACGCGAGTATTTTTTTTATTTATCGTTTAAATATTAAAACTCTTTGCAATGTAAAAATAAACGTAAAATCGCTGGATTTAAAAAGATCAAAGATCTTACTTTAAACTCTCAAGAAAACGCAAAAAATTGGTGAATTAAAAGAAAAAAAAGAAAATAAAAAAATTATCTCGAACTTCTATGCGCGCGATCCTGATTGAAATTGCGTCGAACTGGAAAAGGTTTATATATTTTCCAGTTCTGGGAACGTGAGGGTTAAAGTCATTAATGAAAAACATGATGGCGACGGAGGTGATGGCTGGAGCACACAAATCATTTCATAATTCGTTAACCCCCTCGGGAAATCTAACCACCAGGTGCGGCGCGAAATATAATAATTTTAATTTGTATCTTACTTCAATCTTCTTTCCTTCTCTCATTTTATGCTTGCCTAATGACATTCGTCGTAATTATTCGACGGAACACCATGGTCGCTAATATATACTTGGCAAGAAAGTGAATTTTAATTATCAGAATGATGTAAATCTTCTTTGTTTTTTTTCATGAAAAAAAATGAGCTTCGTTAAATCTTAATTATTCTAATCATTCCCAATTTCCCAATTTCGAAATATAATACTAAAATTGTTGTGTCGATTTTATATCATATATATACATTTTTAGAGTATATCCGAAATCCCGATTTCTGGCAATTTTTAAAAAAATCGCAGTTCTTAAAAATTCAGACAATTTTTTTAAATTAGGAGAATTCTTATGTGTATATATGTACATACATACACACACACACACATATATATATATATATATATATATATGAAAGTTTTTCGATAGTGCAATCTTCTTACCAATTCTTCTGATATCGATATGTAGGTTTTTCAAAGTTTTGATTAGAAATAGAGATTTTCGAAACTATGATTCTTGGAAATTTCACACAATTCTTGGAATTTTAGATGAGGCAACATCTTGTCAGATTACAATTTCCTGATTCTTTATTAATTTTTCAAGAGTTTCAGTTTTCCCGAAACTTAAAATTATAATAATTTCAAAATTCTTTTAAAGGTTTCAGAAATTATTTAAAATTTTAGACAGTGCGATTTTCTTGCCAATTATATTCTAATACCGTGTCAATTTTTTGTTTAATTTTTTTTTTTTTTTTTTTTGAAATTTAAAAGTATTATAGGAATTGATTCTTCGAAGTGTTTTGTGTGTGAAAAAAATTCTGTACACATTAAATTATTAACACACATTTATCGAAATTCTTAGCTTCTCTTTTTGTTTATGTGTTGAATTTGAAGCAGTGAGTTACTTTATCTTACGCAGGAAAAACGAACGTTTCCATATCTACAAACGATCGGCAAGATAGATTTGTCGGTGAATTTCAAATTGGTGTCACTGTCGCTATAGGTGGCGGCACCACTTTGATACAACAATGAGACTCGAATATTTCGAGCTGTACGTTACGATTTCAAAAGATCTCTACGATCGATACTAATATCGACGCTTTTCGACGGATCGAATGCGGATTCATTCGTTCCGACGATCGACGACAGGCGTAGGGAGGGGAAGCGAAAAGTACAAGAAAAGAAATGCAATTCGGCGATGTGCGTCGTCAACGGCGATTGTGTCGTGAGGCTTACTTTGCCGTCACGAGAAGGAGATTTCGCCGAACAAATCGAAAGCGTCTATTCGCCCAACATTTGAGAATGAACTCGGAGAGATTGTCAAACAATGAGGAGATGTCTGCAGTAGAACTGATACGGTTGGGAAAGCTTCTTAAGTTAATACCTCGTGGTCGTCGTTGCTGACAAACATTTTCTTTCCCTTTCATCAGGGAATATCGCGTTCGACCAGTCCACCTTCCCCTCGTTCAAAAGAGGTATAACTGCAAACAAATTGAGGAATTCGCTAATTATTATATTTGAAAGCATGCGAATAGCGTGGGTGCATTTGAACGTTCGAGCTCTTTCTCTGTTACAATCCATTGATAGCCTAAATATACTTTGTTTTCTTTCTTAAATATAAATAAAAAAACATTCTTCATAAAATGAAGAAGTTATTTAGATGCAGAAGAATCTACATTTTTAGCAGCAATAGATTCTTTGGCTGTAATTATACAACAATAGTTGTAGTTATGGAACAATAGAATAAAGAGCTATATCCATAAAATTGAGATATTCTTCTATGATTTTTTCTAGACTATAATTTATGGTTGAAATGTGTTTATAATCAATTCTGTAAAAATCTTTGGTGTTAGAAATGTAAACTAGAGGTCTCGATTGATTCATCTTCAGCGAACAATCCAAGAAAATACTTCAGTGAGGCATTCGGGAGTCGACATAGGTCATAAGGAGTCTAGACGCTATCCCTACCCTGCCTATCGTTATATCAGTGTGGCTTCAGTCCTGGTCAGGACGCAGCCTTGATTCAGTGTGCCTCCAGCAGTGCTATCGAAGCCATCGAAAGCATCCTAGGCTCATTCTTTATAATATAATAAAGATTTTGCAGTGTTTGTGATATTAGATCAATTCACGTTTGTCAGAATCATAATAGATCTTTGTAGACTTAACAAATTTAAGAGTTGTCTGCGTTAGATTCCACCACCATGATGGTATGTATTCTGATTCTTCTTCTTTTTTGATTCAGGTAAATGTGCAGTGGAGCGAAATGATTGACTATGACAGGTTTTCATTTCATATTTCTGCCTTTGTGTGGGTCAGGATCAAGTTTCGTATTCATTCAAGAGCTATACCTTTTCTTTCAATAGCTCTATGATATGATAGCTTTATGTCAAAATTATTTCATCGTGAATTGTTTTGTGTTGGTGATACAAGTCGATTACGCTTTGTGCAATTTTGTGAATGTGTATAGAGAATTCTTTTTAAGTGTGTAATCAAGATTATGTATTGTGTATGTTTCAAGTTTTTTAATGTGGTTTACGCTACGATGTGTTATATATTAGTGTAGTGAAAGCAGTTCTTGTGAATTAATTATGTATACAAGGGGGTAATATCTCTTACTCAAGTGGATAGTTGTACATTTGCTGCTCAGGCTGAAGTATGGCCCCATATATGAACCATATTTCAATGCCCTGTCATAACAAAAGAACAAACCCTAGAGGCATAATAGCCTTTTTCCCCTGATATTGCCTTACCTCATAAACCTATTAATATTTTTCTGCTGTGTTAGAGCTCAATTTCAGTTAATAAAAGGTAAGGTATTAAACTCGCAATATAGATATAGACATTTTTGGAACTGACAAGAACTTTCAATAGATTGTGTTATAGGTTTTGTCGATCAATACCACACAAATGGTCTGCGCAACAGACCAATAGGAGTTGTGCATATATACATGTACGCAAAAATTTATCCCTCTGCGCAGCCTGCCAGGAGATGGTCTATAGTTTCTCCGCTATGCTCCACCCTTAAAGTTCCTGACAACAGAAAAAACTCCCTTAGCTGCTTAATTGAGAGATATGACTCACCACAGAGCTCGATCGATCCAGCATCCCAGATTTCCTGCCTTTGTTTGCATATACCCACTCTGCTCTTACGTAAAAATATGACTGTGTTCAAATCAATAACATTTAGGAAATATAACTGTTATAAATATAACTTCTATTTTTATTTTAATTCCATATATTAAAATGAATATGCTCTATATGTCATCATAAGTGAGATATATATATCCTGACAGCTATTATTTCTATTTTAAAATATATAATTTTATATTTTATATTTTAAAAATACAACATGTAACATTTAAAATTTATATTATAAAATTTATTTATTTACTGTTTCAGGTTGGGACTAACCATGTCCACTAAGAGGCATCGCGGGCAAAAGTTAAGCGTAGATAATAAAGTAGTACATGAAGGCCGTAATAGATAGAATGAACGCATTTCGGCAAAACGAAGCGCGTTGCTTCAGTGAAAACTCTCCCAGGCCACCAGTGCCAGGTAAAACAAAATATTTAAATAATAGAGTAGAAGAAATTACATACTAATGCATAAATTAATCATATCAGACTATTAGCTTACATTTTTTAAATTTTTTTAGAAATGGGAGTAATGATGTAGCTCTAAAAATTTATATTTTTTA